ACTGTGCTTTTTAATGATTTATCGTGTGCACAAACTTATTCATGTGTGATTTTAATTGTGTTTCATATTTAATGAAAATACCACAATTGTATGTTTTCGACATTAGTAAATATTGACAGTTTTGTGCTAATTTTAATGGAAATTCAGATTGTAACTCAACATCAAGTAATAGTGCCACCTGTAGGTAGGAGCTATCACTCACTTAAACCAAATGTTTTTGAAAGCGGGGATCTATTGATTTTGCATGACTTTCCACAATCGCAGAATTGCAAAAAACTGGAGCCTGTTGATTAAATATGTTCTGTTATGTTTTTGATACAATGACAGTTATGAGAACTTCTTCACCTTGTCCTCAGCTTGAGATTTTCCTTTTTTACAAGTTGCTCAGTTGAGTTTTTATCCTATGTTTGTTATTGCTGTTGAAACCAGCAACCGTAGTATCAATCCATGGCATATTTTCATTGCAGCACAGTGAGAGAGGGATCATTAAAATGCTTAATCTGATCCTTTATGTGTTCCACAGGGAGTGGTGGAGTTTTCTCTTTGCCTCATGTTTGCCAAACTGGTCAGCTACACATTCCTCTACTGGCTTCCTCTCTACATCTCTAATGTTGGTCAGTATTATTCACACATTTATGTTAGAAATCTTTATTCCTTCCAATATCGAAATTAATTCAGACTTTCCTGTTTTAAGTCCTTTAGGAGTTCTGTAAATATCAGAATAAGGAGCGAGGGAATTTATTTTAGCATTTATATGTACTTTTTTCAAATTAAGAAGGCTACTTACTTTCAGATGCTACATATTAGAAAGCCCAAATGATGACAATAAAACAAGGCCTTTATGGACACAGGCGGAAAAGCTGTTCAATGAGGTAGAAACCATTTCTCTGGAAGCAACACAGAAAGCCAGATTACAGTTTGCAAATGCATTCAGGGACAAAGACCTTCATTTTTGGAGACTTTTCCTGTGTTTTGCTTAATCTAAAATTTAAGTTTTGCTAATATGAAAATAGTTACATTTAAAGGAGAAGTAAGATGAAAAAAATGTGAAAATAGAGAAGGGACATCTCAAGACCGCAGTGACTTTATTTGCCCCCTGCCAGTTTTTTTAAAAAAAAGTTTTTTTTTTTTCCTTTCTTTCTTTTTTTTTTTTCTTTTTTTTTACATAAGCAAGCGACTGCAAGCATCTTTGCTACGTTGAACATTTCACTGGCAGAGCAGAATCGTTCCTGAAAGATCGATTGGTTTATACAGGCACGAAGCCAATCACACCGCTGGGTGCCTCGTGGCTGGATCTCTCAAGTTTACCTCGGTGCAGATTGCGCACCTGCTTTCTCTCTTGTTCTCGATGAAGGCGGACGCTTTGTTCCTCTGCTCCCTCCCTGCCCTTGTCTGCCCTGCTTGCTCTGTTTTTGTCCTGTTTTTTTCTATATTTTTGGAGCCTTTCTTTGCACATCATCCAAATCTACAAATTATGGATCTGGTCAACCGATCTCTCAATGCAATTGATAAAATTTTCTCGACGAGAAGTCTGAGCACATGAGAGCCCTCTTGTCCTGCGGGGACAAACCCGGCGAAATTCACCCTGGATTTATTCATGATAACAGGATTTCTGCTGTTTGGAGCTTGTGGATTCCTGGATTATCGACAAATTTGTGATGGACTTGGCCGAACTAGCGAACACTCAGACTGTTGGTGTGGACAGAGACGAGGACTCTAAAACTCACTAATGGGATGGAATTGATCTTGGAGAAGTTGCTAGTTTCAGCTCAGTGGAATGACCAAGCTAATTTGGATAATTGGTAACTGAGATGTATCAGAGAGACTTTAGGGAAGATTGAAATCTATAATCTTCCTGACCTAAGACATTCTGTTTCTGAATTGGCTTTTCCCGTGTGGCCTTGGAAGGGCTGCATATTTCCAATCTCCTTGAATATATGTAACCATAACGCTCCTTCCCACTTCACTCCCTGCTGTATCCATCCAGCTGTGGAGCTGAGCGCTCCCAAGGACATTCCTCGATAAACAACACCTCTATCGGACTTTGCCGGGAGTTTGAGCAACGTGGTTTCATGGCCCTTTGACGTCACCGCCTTCACTCTTGTCTCTGTTTTGCCCTTTGTTTTGTCTGAATGTTGCCATTTGCCCTAATGTGTCCATTCCTCTTTTTTGTTTTATTTTGTTAGAAACGGTGGAGTACTCTCTATTTAACCCAGAAAAGGATTATTTTAGTTTATTAGTAATATCAGAAATTGTGGAGTACGCACTATTCAGATCAATATTATACAGCCCAGAAATGGAATCAGAATAACTACGAACTTGGAATCCAGAAATACTTAACAGGAACAGTCACAGCTTAGTTTATATTACTTNTATATATATATATATATATATATATATATATATAGAGAAATAATCAGCCGATCTGAGCCTTTATCATTATGTTTGGGCCAGCAATGGATTTCTATAAGACAAAATTAAATATCTGGTTTCTTTTCGGCCCATTAGAACCAGAACCTCAAGGTTCTCTGTTACTGAGTGTCGCTGTAAACATCAGCGGAAAGTAGACCACAGTTTCTGCGTTTATGTCCTCACTACCTATGGTAGAACAGAACCACACATTAACTGGATACTGTGTGGCTTGCCAGTGTAAAAGCATCTTGAGTGTATACTTGATCATTTTGTAGCAAAGCTGGAAATGTCATCTAACATCAGCATGTGATGCTCGACTCTTCTGCTCTTGAAGCAGCAAAGGTACTTAAAAGATTTATTTTTTTTGTTACAGAATTTGAAATGAAATGAAATTTTATTCGAACATGATACAAATATAAAAATAAAATAGTGCACAGTAACAAGAAGTGCATAAAAAAGAAGAGAAAATACAGATTTTTTGTTTCAGTTAATAACATATGCTCAAAATGGGGTAGGAAGAAGTGAGAACTTATAAACTCCTACCCCCTAAACACTTGAAACTTTAGAGTCCTACTGTCATTAAAAAAATCAAAGTGGTAGTCAGAAGTAAGTTACTAATATTTACCTATACATTTTCCCATTTTATGCTGGTTTGTCTTTCTAAACCCTTACACCAAGTTGTTATCTGCAATACACCTTATTGTTTTCTGTCACCCGTATGTGTATGTGAACCAGTTGAAGTTAAAACTGCCACTTGAATTGTTCTGAGTAGAACATGTTTACAGACAAAAAGTAGCTTTTTTTAAAGTAAAATTTTAATATTTTTTTGTCCAATTTTGGCTGTGTTTGCCAGTTAATGATTAAATTAACTAATTACTAAATTAGTTGACAAATATTTCAATAATCAATTAATCACAATTGTTTCCACTGTAGTTTGATGCATTTTTGAACCTGCTGTTCTCTTCCTGCTGTGTCTCTAGTGTCTGCATCAGCCACAGCTCCACCTGCCACCACCTTTACCCTGAAGACCTCCACCCCAGTCCCTAACGCCCCACCTGCCTCTCAGTCCCAGTCCCCCTCCTCTGCTGCTGCTGTGGGCCAACCCTCTGCCTTCACCCAGGTGCTGGCTCAGGTTTCCAAGGCAACCACCAGCATTCCTGCTGCACCTATAACTGGACCGACCCTGTTTGGGCTGCCAGCTCTGATCAGCACCTCCTTTGCTCCTTCAATCTCCACCACCACTGCTCCACCTCTAGCTCCAACCAGCAGCTCTCAGCCTATCAGCACGACCAACCCTCTCCTGACCGCCGTGTTCAAGCCCATCTTCGCAGCCGCCACAACCACTTCCTCATCTGCAGCCTCATCAGAAACCAAACCCCTGCCCCAGAACTTCAAGCCCATCTTTCCGCAGCCCCCCTCCATCTCTGCCACCTCCACAGCCTCCACCCTCTCTGCCACCACCATGTCCGTGTTTGGTGTGACGACCAGCAGCTCCAGTTCGTTCTCTGGCTTTAACAATGCTTCAGCTGGCATCGCCACGACGACTCTGCCTGCAACCCTGCCGGGGGTTAAATCCCTCTTTGGGAACTGGTCCGCACCGCCCACAACCACAACCAGCAGCTGCAGCTCTGCTTCAGTGCAGCTTCCGAGCACAGGGAGCATGTTCCAGTTTGGAGCTGCAGCCACCACTGCTGCAGCAACAACTGCTGCATCTGCTCCTGCAATATCCAAACCAAGCAACTTCAGCTTTGGAGCCGCGCAGTCGGATCCCCAAGCTTCCAAAGTGTTTTCCTTCGGTCAGCCCTCATCCAGCCAGAGCACCACTACTGCTTCGTTTGGGGGATTTGGTCTGGCCAACACGGTTTCCACCGTCGCTCCCACTGCAACTGCGGCTCCGACTGCCGCCACCACCCACCCCACCCAGCCCACATTCACTTTTGGAAAGCCAGCATTTGAAGCACCAGCAGCCCAGCCGGCCTTCAGCTCTTCGTCGGGTCCCCTGAAGCCCTTCACCTTTGGGAGCAGTGGCGCATCATCCACAACTGCTGGCACCGCCACAGCACCGGCTCCATTCACGTTCGCAGCGCCCGCTCCCGCCGCTGCTGTCGCTACATCAGCTCCCACCTTTGGGACTCCAGCTAAACCAGTGTTTGGCGCCGGCTCCACTGGTTTTGCATTTGGTGCCAATGCAGCCCCTTCAGTCACACCAAGCTTCGGCGGATCAACACAGACTCAGAGCTCCTCCACCTCTACGTTCCCATTCGGAAGTAGTAGCGGCGCTGCCCAGTCAGCAGCCTCTGGATCAGCTCAGCCTGCGACTGGTGGATTCAACTTCGGAGCCAGTATGTCATGCCCCCAGTTCGGAACACCAGTTTCTAGTAATACGGCACCGCAGATGGGAAGCTTCAACTTTGGAGCAGGTGCTGCTGCAGACAAGCCAGCTTTTGGTGAGGTTTTTATTGAAATTGAAATTTTTAAATTTTATTTATTTATAAGAGGGCAATGCATCTTTATCAACATGAATACATCATATAAATATGCCAGATTTAGCCAAAGAGGCAAATTTTCAGCTGTAGCCTCATAGCAGGGTGATTTAAAAAAAAAATTACAGTAATTGTATTGTTAATCAGTAACAAAATGTATTGCGATTAATATCGATAGATGATGCATCTGAAAACTCAGATCTGATCCAGAGTAGAACCATACGGCATTCTGGGATATGTAGGCAGAGGAAAGGCTTTAGCTGCTCAACCTCAAGTTGATGACATCAACTATCTCACTTGTTCTTTGGTTACCTAGCAACAAACTGTCGAGTAACTTGCGCAGCAGTAGTTTAAGATTCCGTCGCTGTGCCTCATAACTGATTAAAAAAAAGAAAGAGGGAGAGAAAACTGGACAAAACAGGAAAGGAATGTGGGTGTTTCGTCAGCAATCATTTGTGGTAAAACAACAAACTTCCTGATGCAGAGAAATGATAAAACCTGTTGAATTATGTGTAATATGTCACCGCACTTTCTGATTCAGCAGGTTGTATTCTCGTTCCCAGTCAGGGTAAACCCCACAGGCTGCGATAAAAGGGCCAAGACAACCCAAATAGGGTATATTCAGGATTTAGAGGGAACACCAACATGCAGAAGCCTTATCTGACGGTTCACCCCAGAACCCCCTGCTCCCCAGGGCCACAGCAAAATTTCCAAGTTTGACCGGTCCCCGGTAGTAAAAAGGTTGGGGACAACTGCTGTAGGCATTGAAATGAGGTAATCTGTGTTTAAAAGCTTGCAAGTCACATGCTGAGAAAAACCGACTTCAGTTGCTTAAGTTTTCAAATTAGTGAAAGATATATTAGTAGATAAATGGGCTGTGAAGATAACTTGATTTTCAGAATATTAATAACCTTTCATTTAAATCATAATGTTTTGTGCGCTTCTCTCCTCAGGGACATCGACCCCGTCGTTTGGCCAGGGTGCCACTCCAGGTCCGATTCCCTTTGGAAGTCCAGCAACTCCAGTCCAAGGCTTTAATGCTGGTCCTTTCGGTAGGTTGAAGTGATGAGCCATTTCCAGACTGCTCTCCTATTGTTGAAAGCCTGAAAGTGCTGCTTCTGATTTATGTTAATTCCAATTCTTGGCTATGTTTTATTGAGGTATATTTGTACAAATCATATCCTTTTAACCTTTTGGTATTCTACAGAAAGTCTTGTCTCTCACTTGATACTGGAATTTCTCCACATCTCATAAAAAATCCTGTTTCCTTTTAAGGAAAAGGACATTTGTGTTTGTTAGAAAAAACTGAGACATTTTAAGATTAATCTCAGAAATTTGTTTGAGAAAAAATCGTGGAAGTTTCTGAGTTTGAAAAGCTAAAAATTTGCTAGGAAAATGTAGACATTCTGAAATTAATCTCAGAAAATGAACATTTTCATTAGTCTGAACCAAATGTAAAGAAGTTTTTATTTTTATTTATTTATTTTTTTCTGTACTTCACAGGGTCTCCTGCAACCCCCACCTTCTCTATTGGAGCCGGATCAAAGCCGTCCGGTGCACGTCAGAGGTTGCAGGCACGAAGGCTGCATAACAGGAAGAAGTAACCGATTGAACGTTCCGACACCATTTCTGGAGGACCATGGCAAGCCTGACTGATACACCTCCGTGGTTTTAGCTCCAACATCCTCCAATCAGGCTGCCGCCCTCCTCTCCCTTGTTTCCTCCCAGTCCAACAGCAGTGTGTGCTGGCCCGGAGCGCTGATTTAGCAGAGGAGTTAGCGAATGTCACAGCATGAGGGAATCAACCACAACAATGTGTTATACTTGAAGAAAGACAGAACAGACAGTCAAGTTGTTGGATTCTGAACAAAAAATGACATCCAAAGTTTCTCGTTCTCTTTCAGTACATGGACACTCCTGCCGATTTTGTCCAGAGGAGAAAGCTGAGACGTTTATTTTTTTACGTAATCTCTGGTTTGTATGTTACCGAATGTTTCAGTACAATGAGTCTAAACAGGAGAAATGCTCAGCTGCTTCAGATGAGGCAAGAGTGAACATGTAATTGCGTTTAAATTATTTTTTTAATTGGCTCTCTGACCTTGTAAATGGATGAATGATGTTTCTGCACTTAAAGGGCAACTTGGTTTATGTCTTAATGTCGTTTTTTGCAGATGCTTTGGCTGCATATCATTATTGCAAGCATTCCCAGAGTCCTCCCATGGATGGCCTTCTTTCCTTTAATCCTTATCTTTGTTTTGTTTATATGAATCATTTGCCAACACTGATGAAAGTAGCGGGTCAGTATGTGATTAGGATGACTACTTCTGACCTGTGCAGACAAACCAAAGCCAACTGTTCAACTTCATGTCTGTGAAAAAAATATGTGATCTCCAGTTCACCTTTAAATGCTGAGTGTGTTCGTACATGTGTGAGTGTGTTTGTGCCAGACTACCTCTTTTAACCACAGGCACTGAAATCTTTTGTTGATCCGTAGATTGGATTTTAATTTTAGCTACTGATCTGTGCAAATGGTTTGAAATATCTGCACACCACATTACCCTAATTTCAGAAATGTCATTGTTACAGTAGTTTACACAATATTATCCTAAAACCAGGTATTTTAAACACGGGCTGAATCTGGACTCTTGTACAAGGAGTTTTGTTTTTAATGTTTTGTGACATGGTTTCTGGAATTTTTGTCATTATTTTAATGTTGGTTGCTTCAACAAAATGGTTTGTTGCTTTGTAATGACTGCTCTCTCGTGAAACCTGAACACCAACTGAGTTAGTATTTGATGGGGGTTTTTCCTGAATGAATAAAATCACAGTTTGAGACATGAATGTTCAACCTTGTACACATAAAACTCTTATGCTATGAGTGCTTTTTTTCTGAGATTAGGTGGGTAAAATAACCTTTAAGTAATTTTTTCTTGCAGTTTTTGTTTTTATTATTTAAATGTGTATAAAACAGTGTTGGGATATGTAAATAATCTAAGCCTGGTATTCAGTGGTAAAAATCCACTTTTTAGCTATTATCTAGCATAAAAACTATAAAATGACAACCAAGATGTCCTATGTTCCCAAAGAGTGATCCAAGAAATCTTGAGAATGATTTAGCAGACCTAGTATCAGGACTTCTACACAAGCAGTGTTCCTACATGAATCCTTTCCTACCATGACACCTCAGAATTTCTAGGAAATTTATTGTTTAGAAAGAAGTTAACTGTCTTAACTTACCTGTGCTCCAGAATTAATGCTGGTGTTTTCTTAGAAAAAAAACATCTTGGCAAATTATTTAACTGTATTGTTCCCAAAAATAGCTAATTTTGTGACTATTCAGGCCTAAGATAGTTTGTTATAGAAATATTTTTTGCATTGTCTAAAGAAATATTGCATAAGAAATCAGAATGCCTAAACTAAACTGAACTAAAGCAAGAAATAAATGTATGTGTACACCATTCTCTAAAAATCTTACATTTCTCATAGTTCAGTTCAACTTATAGCTTTTTAATTCTTATTTTTTGGCATTATCCTGTTAACCTAAACAGAACCTCCTGTAAGGCAAAAATAGCCTCTTGAGAACAGTATTTGTAATTCCAGCCATACCTTCCTCCTTGCTAACTTTTGAATTAATTTATGTTGATTTTTCAGTCCACAGGGCTGTTTTCTAAGCCACACCATTCAAGATTGAATAAAATAAGCAGGTGGCCTTATTTCTGCATTTTTTTTTATTACACCATCTTTAATTTGACGGGTTTTTCAAAAATTAATAATTATAGGTTCAGTGACATTTTCTATTAAAATGAGAACCAAAACACTTTTAAAATATGTTTTAGAAATGTCAGGAGCAAATATCAGCGATAAGTACTTGCATTTCTGTCAATGTTCTTTCCTGTTCATTTCTATAAATTAGTATGTTGAAATTGTGTGGAAAAGAGAAGTTCGTAAATATAACACTGTAGCTTTAACAGTTGATTAAAATGTTTCAGTGTTAAACCATCCAATAAATAGGAAAACTTTTTCCTAGGAATATATAATTTTACTTACTGGTTTTTAGTTTATTTCAGTAGAAATTGTGCATTGCTCGTATTGCTCGTGGAAAAAATGGTTTTACAGTTACATTCCTGTCCTTTAGGTGGCACTGTAGATTGCCATGGGTGTTTATGATGCATTTACGAAAGATCAGAAATGGCCACTTTAGACATTGCAAGTCAAAATCTGCAACAAGAAATTACGTCGAGTGAGTCAAATTGGAACTACTGCGCAGAATTTCTGTATATGATGAATGAATGTTATATTTTAAAAGTTATTGCTTATTTAGAAAGCCATTTGCTGAGAGTTTCCCTAATCTCTTTAACATGGAAACAGCAAAAAAAAAAAAAAAAGTTAAAAAATATTCTTCATTGCAGCGTCAGTGTTTGAAATCATTCGAAGCTGATAGGACAAAAATAAAACATTCTCTCATTGTAGTACTTGTATTTACGAGTTGAATATAATAACCTTGAATGCAACACTCAAATATGACACTCTAGCGCATGCGTCTTGTCCTATTATAATGGGCTAACTGTTAGCGTTGTAAAAAAAAAAATTACGTGGCTGGAATATTTCAATATGGAGGTAGCAGCATTAGTTGCCCTGACTTTATTATTAGGTGCTTTGGTTATTCTGGTCGCTTTTGCGGTGGGAAGGAGAAAAGAAGAGATAAAGGAGGAAACTGAGCAGGCTGCGGAGAGTTCAGGTGAGAGAACCGCGGAGCTCATGTAACCAGAATCGGCTGTGCTGACTGACTGCCAGCTCTGTATGAGTCCGCTGAATGAGCACCCATTCATTCTTCTATTCATTCACTTTGTAAAACATTGGGATTTTGTGCTAAATATTAATCCTTAATTCTTATAAATGTATAAAAAATAAATAAACTAACTTTCAGTCACCTGCTTCTAGCCAATAGTGAAATGTTTTATTAACGGACCAATGAGGTCATAGCTTTCTGCTGAGTGACAGCTCTTTTTCATTCATGGAGAAGTTCAGAATGTCTGGTAGTGAACGTTCATTAAAACCTGTGTTTATGTAAGAGGAAAGAATCTGCAATAAAACTCTTGTTTAAATATGATAAACTCCAACGTAATTTGTTGTCATTTGGAGTGATTTATTTGGAAATCTTAGTTTAGAACAACAATTTCACAAACAAATTATTCATAAACTTATCTAAATTAGTCATAGCAGCCATTAAAAATGTCTCGTTGGACAACTTCTTGTACTCTAGCTGAAGCCAGTGCTGCGAAGGGCCCAACGTCTAAGAAGCAGAAGCAAGACAAGCAGCGGAGCCGCAAAGACAAACCAGCACAGCACAACTTCAGCCATCCTCTGCTGGCAGCTTCACTGAAGGTAAGCCATCTGGATAAACCTCAGACACTAACAACAGGTGTTCTTTATTGTCATGTTTTTTTGGTAGACCTAAACAAACAGATGGCTACATTGGTAGTTTTCACTTAAGCCATTTTTGCAAAATTGTGTAATTTGCACTCCAAATTCCATCTGATAAGTTAATGACTGCACCAGCGGGAGATATCTTGTGGGGGGCGGCATGACAGTGGACCCATCCCCTGCTCTCACAACCGGAGGATCTGAATGTCAACCGTCCAAAGCTCCATACCCAATTAATCAGATTAATTATTTCAGCCCTAAATGTGACATACTATGCATGCGTTTAATTTTTGTATCTTGTGCTCCTCAGGGCCATAGCGGGAATGTGACATGCTTGGATTTCAGCAGTAATGGGAAATACCTGGCGTCCTGTGCCGATGACCGCACCATCCGGATCTGGAGCACCAAGGACTTCCTGGAGCGGGAACACAAGTGTCTGAGAGCTAACGTGGAGCTGGATCATGCCATGTTGGTTCGCTTCAGCCCAGACTCCAGGTCTGCTTCTTTTTCCAGACTTTAGTAACTCACGTAAAGCAGTACATTCTTGCCTCTAACCTTTAAATACTGGAACAACTTGTGGAACAAACACACTGGAAATGACAGCTCACTTTTACCTAGAGCTGTAAAGTTTGTTTTTAAACATGGTGAGGCATATGCCTGTTATGATAAGTCAATTTACTGGATGATAAATTGTCCCAGTAATTACTGTGATAAATAATAATATTGTTTGGGGTTTTTTAGACTATTTCCAAGTAATACATTGATCATTGCATAACAATGCAAGTTCATCTCAAAGACCAATAAACTTTAATTTTGTAAAGAACACTTCATCCTGGAACCGGAAGATATTTTAAATATCCAAAATAAAAAAACAACTAAAAAAGTTAAAAAAATAAAATAAAAAAATAGCAATGCTCTCACAACGGGAGGATTCTGAGAGCATTTTCTTAGAACATTTCTGAGATTAATATAAAAATGTCTGAGGTTTTTTTTTTTTTAGCAAATTTTTGACTTTTGAGGTGCTGCGGTGGCACAGAGGTAAAGCACAATCCATGTACAGTGGCCTTAGTCTCTGTACATGGCTGAGTCCTGACCTGATGACCTTTGCCACATGTCTTCCCCCTCTCTCATTACCCATTTTCCTGTCTGACCACTCTCAAATAAAAGCCACTAGAGACAATAAAACCTTAAAAAAATAAAAGCTTTGAACTCTTGTAGCTCAGAAATGTCCTTGTTTTTTCTAGAAAATTAAAAAAAAGTTTTTTGCCAAAAATGTACTCCTTTTTTTCTATCATCATTCAAACATGTTTGAATTCTTCACCAACGCCCCGTTTTATCCTGCAGGGCTTTCATCACCTGGCTCGCCAATGGAGATGCTATTCGTATCTTCAAGATGATCAAAAAGGATGACGGGACCTTCAGCTTCAAGGCCGCCTCGGAGGATTTCCCCCAGAAACACAAGGCCCCGATAGTTAACATCGGAATTGCGGAGACAGGTAAAGAACACATCAGAACACGTCACATTGTACTATTTTGTGATGGAGAGAACTGAATATGGGGACTTTTCCACAAATATGAAGCTCCTAATTGTTTCTTTTCTGCAGGTAAATTCATCATGAGCGCCTCAACAGACACCACCATCCTGATCTGGGACCTGAAGGGAGAGCTGCTGGCCTCCATCAACACCAATCAGATGACCAATTCTTATGCAGCTGTCTCCCCCTGCGGCAGGTCAGGCTCAACACAACAACAAACACTTGAAACATTTACTGCAGCACTTGGTTAGGATTCTGGTGCTCACTATGGAGAACCAAAACTTGGTGTTTCCATCTTCTCCCTGCCCTTGTCCTTAGGTTTGTAGCATCTTGCGGCTTCACTCCAGATGTGAAAGTTTGGGAAGTTTGCTTTGGAAAAGGAGGAGAGTTCAGAGAGGTAGCCAGAGCGTTTGACCTGAAGGGCCACTCTGCAGGAGTTCATGCATTTGATTTTTCCAATGACTCTCACAGGTAATAAGTGTTTGTAATTAGGATCTTTGCATTGCTGGATAAGATAAATAATGCAGCATTTATAAAAAAAAACACGTTTTTTTTTTTATCACAATTTCTTTCTATATCAATGTATTGATAGTAAGTTACTTTAAGGGGGAAGTGTTATGATTGAGACTGCAATTATGGGAGGCGCTAACATAATATGTTATAAAGTTCACCCCTCATTAAAAACATACCTAGAATGCTGCTTTAATTCTTCCATTCATGTTTCAGAAATTCCTCAAAGGGAACGTATTATGCAAAATTCACATGTTTTTGTACTTCTATTTAGGTCTCAACTGCTCCTAAAAACTGCTCAAGCGCTTAAAAAACACCCAACTAGTTTTGGCAATAATGTTTTTGATGTCTGGAAAATGAGGCATTTCAACATGTTCAGAATGTGACTTCACAAATTAGCCGGCTCTGCTCCTCACCTAGCAACGCAAACTGAACTCCAACAAGTTTGGTCATCTGGTTTTATCACTCTATGCACTTGACCTTTCCAGAATGGCTTCTGGAAAGGACAAGTCTTTTGAGGTTGACTTACCATCCGGAAACCACTTGCTGCATTCATGTTGGTTGTGCAGGAGGCTCCACTTATGCTTTTCAAAGATGCATAGTTTGCATAAATGCACATCTGTTTGCAGCCATTTTCACATGTGAATTTGAGGGGAGTGACCAGCAGCAGCTTATTTGGACTTGGTGACAAGACATCATTGTAAAACGGATCATTCTGAAAGAAGCTCAAAGTGGGCAGAATTAAACAAACTTAATTCCTATCTAAAAAATATTTTGTGTAACAAAAAAAAAAGTAAAGAACATGTTTTGTATAGCCCATAGATCTATCATAACCTATTCAAAGAAGCATAAATAAGAAAAGGTGTCTAAAAAGTTTAGCAACCAACTTTGCTTTTTTTTCTGATCAGAATGGTGACTGTGTCTAAAGACGGAACGTGGAAGCTGTGGAACACAGACGTGGAGTACAAGAAGCAGCAAGACCCGTACCTCCTCAGGACAGTGCCCTGCTCCTCCTCAGATGGCAGCAGGGTGGCCTTGTCTCCGGATGGCCGGGTGGTCGCCATCAGTGACGGCTGCAATGTGGCAATGTTCGACTCGACCACCGGGAAGCTGGAGGAGGAACTGCGTGGCGTCCACAGCCAGGGGATCACTGACCTCAGATTTGACATCAACAGCCGCTTCCTGGCATGTAGCGGAGACAAGGCCATCCGTGTGTTTCACAATGCGCCGGGTTACCGGGTGGCCATCAGGGACATGCAGGACATGCTGAAGAAGGCTCAGAATGAGGCCATGAAGCAGAGACTCCAGCAGCAGATCAGAGAGGCTCAGAGCGCTCTGGATGCTGCGTTAGCTGCTCCCGTCGAGTGAAGCAATGCACAAAGAGCCACATGAGTTCTTTTTCTGTCAAGAAAATATTCAAATCTGCATGCAGTTTTAATAAAATTATGTTTTTATGGACGGATTAAAGGCAATGTGTTCAAACATGGTACTGTGTTAATTTCTTGGTAAGCATCAAAATAATGACAAAAATGGCATCATTCACTGAGATTAGAGCAATTTTATCAATTAATTACATTTTTGAAGATTTCATTTTTGGAAAATCTGGATTTATTTTTTTTCACCAACATGAGCCTTGGATTCCCATAGTTCAGTGATGAATATTTATGCAAGTTACTTTAGTGATACATACATTTATGCATATGTATATCACAGTGATATGCATAAATATGCATTTACTTTTGCATATGATTTATGCATAAATAAATCACTTATGATTTATTTATGCTTAAATCATAAGTGATTTATGATATTTATACACTAGAATGCACAAATACAATGATTTTCAATGGTGTATTAGGGTCATTGTATAAAAAGTAAATTTCTAACAGACAAAAAAATTTTCTAGATAAAACATGGAAATTTCAGTTTCAAAAGTTGAACATTTTAAAATTTGAAACTCAGAAATGTCTTGGGATTTTTTTTTTACTGAAAATTTTTGAGATTAATCCAAAAAGAACAAAAAAAAATCTTAAAACTGAAATTTCTTTGTTTTTTCTAGACAACTTAAATTCAAAATGTATCAGTTTTGTTGGCAGAAATGTACTCTTCCTTTGTTTCTATCTGCAGTGGCCCTAATATGCCGATGTACTATTCTAAATTCAAAGATTACGTCTAACCCCACCTCTGCGCCGCGCAGCTACATGTGATGGCGTGTATATGATGCACACCCCACTCTGATTCGACCCGGATGTGGTTCTTATTCTTGCTGCACGTTGTTGAGCAGCGTGACCAGCAACCCGTGCTGGATGTGAGAGCTGATGTCTGTGGAAATGATGGAGGTTTCGGTGAGTTCAGCGGAGCCGCTCAGGCCGGCTAGGATTCTTCAACAGAACCGGGTCTTCCTCGACTTCTTCTGGGATCTGGCTAACCCGGACCAGGAGGTCCGGTTGAAGGCGGTGGAGAACTTGATCCAGTACCTGAAAACAGAAAACAAGGTGAGAAACACCCAGCCTGTCCTCTCGGACAGTTTTCAAACTTCTTCGCTGTTGAAATTATGAAACTATTCAATCTGAAAACCCGCCGGATAAACAAACATTAAACATCACTATAAATAGTGAGGTAGTTAAATGTTAACATGAAGGAAAATAAGATGATAATTTAAACAAGATGTGTTTCTAATCGAGTAAAATTTGAGTTCCTGATACAAAATATATAAACAACAATATAAATCCCATTATTATCCAAGAGAACACAAATACATTAAAGCACGGCAAAAATAATAAGACTAGATACAGAGAAAAGGCCAAAAGGAGAAGACAATTTTTAATTTACAAGTAACTGAAAAGTGGGGATTGTATTTTTGTACCTGTGTATGATTTAATTTAATAAGTAAACTGTATCCCATTCTAAAAACACCATCTGCATTTTGAAACATAATGCTGGGGACAGGGAAGCTGTTTAGAGTGAATGAAACTGTGAGAGCCTGCAGAGGACTAGAGACTGGGCCGAAGTTTCACATAACGGTGGACGATATGGATTTAAAGTTTTATCACGATATTTTGTAGTACTATTGATAAAAGTTGCGATAAGAACTATGTATTACTTCTTTTTTTAGGTAGTTGTATGGCTGCAACTGTGTGCAACAGCAACTGTAGCTCTGCTAAGACAAATAATGGTCTTGGAAAAATATTTCCATTTTTAATATGCTGCTTTTGGACGCCAGCTAATCCCATAAAGAAGTGTGTTTTATATCATTACACTGCAAATTGTAATTGCATTTAGTTATGTTTTCAAATTTATTGATATTATTGATTCTTTCATTTAGGCCTGTCCTGATAAATTTTGTTGGATGATGAATTGTCCTAGAAATTATATTTAATAAACAATAACATTTTTGCTTTTAATACGATTTTCAATTAATATAATGATAATAGCATAATAATATCAATTTGTCCTTTTCAAAGACTAGAAAACTTGAATTTGTACAGAACACTCCACAATAGGACTGGAAGACATTCTAATTATACAAAATAAAACACAACCACCAAAAACATAAAAAAATAAAATAAAAAAAAGGAAATTATAACCTACCTAGTGAAGCTACAAATACAATTTATTTATAATGTATGGTTTAAATTTATCTAGGAATAAATTTACGTTGCTTTCATTGAACAGTGTAGAAAATATTGAAACTAACAATCCTGTCGATACGGACAGTTGTGGAATTTACTGTGACAACAACGAATCAAAATTATCATCACGATCATCAAGAAATTTATCACACTAAATGATAAACAATATGATAAATGTTCATGACCCATAAAATACAGGCATTATGAAAATTCAGTTAATAAAATTTATTTGTTTGTTTGTTTTGGACAAAATCTCATATAACAGAGATTTAAATCTAAAAATGAAGAAAGGTCAAAATGTTCAAAGAGTAATTGTGAAGTCAGGAGTAAATTAAGATATCCTGGTTGCTGTTTGTGCTGCAGGCTGATGAGCTGGAATACACGTTAAAACGGCTGGTGGACGGCCTGGCCCACACCCGGGAGACGGCCCGACCCGGATTCAGCCTGGCTCTGGGGCAGGTGAGTGGACCGCCGGCCTGAGTCCTGTGGTACAACAAGGAAATTGATACAATTCTGTTAATTTTCCAACTATAAAGCTGCTAAAAACTGATCAAATTTAGAGACAAAACTAAAAATCCATTTAAATCTCAGAGATTAGGAAAAAGTAAAGAGTCAAACCTATGAGTTTTCTTCTCCCTAAGGTGTTGAGTGCCTTTGAAGACATTTCCCTGCAGAGCATACTTGTCAGAATCAAAGAAAAACACAACTTACAGGCTGTGAAAAGGGTACATTTTGATCTTTTGAACTTCATTTAGCACAAAAACATTCATTTAAACGATGTTTAAACACCTCAACCTGGTTTTTGCTCTTTAGAAACTTGCCAGAAATGCCATGTTTGGGAATCTGTTTGGCGTTCTTGCCCTCCAACAGTCGGGACGCCTCGTCAAAGTAAGTCTGCTTCTTAGTTTGTCCGTGAAAGCAAATAAAGTCATAATATTACGAGAATAAAGTCGAAATAATACAAGAATAAAGTCGTGACAATATGAGAATAAAGTCATAAATAATACTTTATTGTCATAGAATTTATTTTTAATAGTGTGGCCTTAGTATCCAATCATAATTAAAACATTTGATGGATTCAGTTTTTTATTTTTTTGCCCTTTTTTACCCCATCTTCCCTCCAACTCTGAGGCGCCCCCTGGAGGCCCTGACTTTGTAAAACACTGATTTAGCCCATATATCCAAAAGCTTTTGAGCTTGTTTACTTTTCTCTGCAGGAACCCCAGGTGGTGCTGGGATGTGTGCAGCTCCTTCAGTGTTTGATCCAGCACAAGCAGCACCTGAAGGACCTGCCCAGCAAAACCATGACCGACATCCTCACTGAGGTAACGGTAACTGCTTCATCTTCCCACCACTATGACCCGTTCTCCTTCTTTAAGCTGCTGTTTTCTGGGCCCACAGATACCGGAGGAGGTGTTTGAGGAGGTTCTGCTGAGCACTCTGGAGGCTGACCTGGCGTCGGCCTTCAGGACCCCGGAGCAGATGCAGCTGCTGCTGGTGGCGCTGCAACACTTCCCACAGGCCCTGAAACCCAAGAAGCTCAAGAAGCTGCTGGACTCTTCCACCATCATCAATGCAGACAACATCCCAAAGTGAGAACATGTTCCACAACTCACAGCATAGTCATTAGTTAATTGCACCACTGCTTTTTATTTTGAATTTAACAGCTAAATAATCTAGTATATAGGGCTGGTCAGTAAATCAATGACGATATCCATCGTGATAGACACATGATCAGTATCAATAGATAATATGTCTGATGGAATATTCAAAAATTTCACTGAGCTCTGATACATCACCGCACAGCATTCTGGGGGATGTATGCAGAGGAAAGGCTTTAGCTACTCAACCTCTAAGCTAAGCAAAATTGGTGGCATCAACTAACTCACTCTGTCACTCTTTGGTTACTTAGCAACTGATTCACTTTTTGATTACCTGGCAACCACCTGTTGAGTAATTAGCACAGCAGCAGATTAGGGTTTCACCTCTGTTCCTCATAACTGCTTAAAAGTGAACAGCAATAATGTAGAGTGAAAGAAAACAATTAGTACAGTAGCTTGAGGATAAAACAGGAACAAATTACCAGTTGTCAGTATTTCAGATATTTAAAACAAAAAAAAAATCATTAATAATCTATAGCGACTGATATGAAACCCTTAAATTGTGATATGTTTTTCAGCCATATCGTCCAGCCCTAATTAAAGACTTTTTTTAAATTTATAGCTACAGTAGCTTATGGTCAAAGGTTGCCATCTCAATCCAAAACAACATAAGATCAATTAATCAATCAAATTTTATTTGCATAGCACATTTCAGCAGCATGTCAAAGTGCTTTACATAATTAAAATAAAAACAGCATGTGACATTGAAAAAACAGTGAGAAAGAGAGACATTTTGAAAAAGATTAAAAAAGATAAAAACATTAAAATCCCTTTTAGGACTTCAGTTAACTGTCGTTTAACTGGGGCCAAAAGATGGACCAAAGCATCTGATCAGTAATCAGCTGTTAAATCCTGAAAAATGTCAAAACTAAAAGGAAACACATTTTGTTTTTGTTTATAAATGCATCAACAAACAGTATTTTCTTTTGTTGCACTTTGTTTTGAGATTAGTAAAGAAAATTTGACGTATAAATGGAGATAGTCTTGTAATTCCTTCATTTTTTTTTCATCGCAAAACTGCCTCCCTCAAGGAACCTGAGAACCTCAGAAATTTTTATGTGTTTTTCTTTTTTCTTATTTCAAATAGTTTTATTAGAGCCAGTCAAACAAATTACAAAATATAATTCTTATTGTGTATATATACATCTTCTGATGCTCTTAACAATATAATACTGACAAAATGGTGCATCAGAAAAATATTCAGTGCACCAGTTTCAGCCCTTTTTTGTTGCTTTTTCAACAAACTGTAAAAGGTTCAAATTAAAAATGCAACTAGAGAATAAAATCAACCCCCCTTCACATCTCATTTTCTTAAAAATTTCTGTGATTAGTCTCAAAATTTCTCCTTCTTTTCTATCTGCAACGTCCCTACTATGCTTCTTAAGTAAAACTAGTTCTAATTGAAATCAGTTTGTTTACTCTTCTGTATCTTCCATCTCACAGGCTAGTGGAGGTGTTGAAGATGGCGGCCCACTCAGTGAAGAAGGAGCGCGTCCTCCCCTCTGTGGCCCTGGACTTGCTGAAGCTCTCCCTGAAGGAGGACAGTTTCCAGCTGTTCTGGGACGAAGCCATCACTGAGGGAATGTTCAAGGAGCCGTCTGGACCAACACAGTGAGCCCATAACTGGCAGCTGCTAAACCATCACTTATTGTGATGGTTTGCTTTGATATGAGGCAGTTGATGAAAAGAGAAATTTACTCCCACTAACCAGCTATATTTAACATTTAACTTTTTTTTCCAGTCTTTATGTTTTCAACTCTGTAGACATCACTTTTCCTCTTTTTCTTCCAGTTATTTTCAGTCTAATGACGTATTTTCCTGTTGTGTAGTTACTTGAGCTACCGTCTGCTGGGCAGTGTCCTGCCTCTGCTGTCCTTATCCCAACTAAAGGAGGTTTTATCTGGAGAGGTGATGATGCACTACGGCGAACATGTAGTTTCAGCTCAGGTCAGTCTCAGTTTCAGTTTTCCTTCAATTATTTATGAAGAAAAATGTAAGTTAATTACATATTGTAACATAATATGGTGAAGACTTGCACCTTCTGTTTCAAATTCAAAAATACTTGTATTAATCCTAACAGAAAATTAAATGTTTTCATAACTCATATTATTCCAGGTTGTTCATAGTTGTTCTAGATACTGTTAGCTGTGAGAATTACTACAGACGGCTACAGAATTTTCTTTAGCAGTCTGTATTGCAGCTGTTCTGATGAAGCCTCTGACTGAATACATTTGCTGCCTTTCCATTATAAATGTGCATATTCCTCTAATGTTTATCGTTTATCATAGAAACTGAAGCAGCATTCAGCTTCTATGCACCACAAATCTGGAACAAACTTCCAGAAAACTGTAAAACAGCTGAAACACTGAGTGCCTTTAAATCTCAACTTAAAACCCACCTGTTTAGAGTTGCTTATGGCTAAATTAGGGTTAGAGTCCCAGTTAAACGACATTTAACTAAAGTCCTACAGGGGTTAGAGCCCCAGTTAAAAGATATTTAACTAAAGTCCTACGGGGTTTAGAGTCCCAGTTGACGGCGTTTCAACTAAAAACCTAGAGGTTGGAGTCCTTGTCAAACGGTGTTTTTGACTAAAGTCCCAGAGGGTTAGAGCCCCAGATTAGGACAGGGGTGCGGGTGTCGTCCCCCCTGGTTCAAAAGGAGTGCAGGTTTTAATGTTTTTATCTTTTTTAATCTTTTTTTTTTTTTTTTTTTTTTTACAAAATCTCTTTCTCTTTCTTACTGTTTATTCAATGTCACATGTTGTTTTTTTTCTTAATTATGTAAAGCACTTTCAAATGCCTTGCTGCTGAAATGTGCTATACAAATAAAATTTGATTGATTGATTGATTGATAATGTTGAAAAAACACAATTTCACAATTGTGGTGTTTCCATTAAATATGAAACACATTTAAATCACATGTAATTGAGTTTGTTCACACAATGTCTTTAAAAAAACATGCAGCAGAATGATACTACTGCTACTTCCTGTCGTCTTCTTGGTGGTTTGCGTCAGAGGCAACATGCAGTTGTTGATTATGTGTCTTGTGTTATGCAAACCATGTATTTACATTGCAGTTTTGCAAAACAAACCAATTTTGATATGGCAAAAAAAAAAAAAAACATCCTTTAGGACCAGGGTTGGGATACTGCTCCAGAGGTTCCACTGAACGGAACTAGCCTTCTTTACAAGTTTTATTTTATTTTATTTTTTATTTTTTAATCTTTTTAAATCCCTGGTTCTGATGCTGCTACCCCAACAAATGATGTAGAAGAGATTATACTCTCCACAACAGGCTTGTACAACATATGCACCATCTTGCAAATGTGGATGCTGTAAACTAATTTGGTCAATAGCTAAACTGAAGCTGATTTGTTAATGGTGCTGTCTGAGGCTAAGACTAGTTAGCCTAGTCTTAGCCTAGGCTAAGACTAGGCTAACTAGTCTTAGCCTAGGCTAAGACTAGTTAGCCTAGGCTAACTAGTCTAGTTAGCCTAGGCTAACTTGGCCAAGTTATGCCAAGTTATTCCTTGGCATAACTTGGCATAACTTGTTCCTTGGCCAAGTTATGCCAAGGAACATAACTTGGCAAAAATCTAATCTCAGTAGAAGTCACGATAAGATAGAAATGCTAGCACGGTGACATTCAGTGAAGCTCAGTTATTACAGCGAGTGCACTGTCCTGAGGATGTTGATTCTTAGTTACCGCGTGCCCTCCCATTTTTTCTGTGCTCTTTTCTGTCCAAGAACTGTCAAACAAAGCCAAGTAGTAGTAAAAAAATTCTTAAAGTGCTTGCAAATAATTTGTTTCATAATAATTTCAACGAGCACAAGCAAGCATCCTATTTTAACATGATACTTAAAGAACATACTACATTCAAATTTGCTAATATGCTGTGATTAGCTAAGATACTAATAATAGCATGTAGCTTTGGTTACAATAATGCAAACTATGCACTGTGCTAACAACCTACAAAGTGCTAATATTAGCATGTTAGCTATAAAAATCTAATGTACTAAAGTTAGCTGGTATTACTGACATTAGCTACCATGTTAACAACACACTAGCACAGGCTACAGCAGCGAAAACTGTCTAGTAACAGCATTCTATATAATGCAAACATCAGTGTGTTAGCTATTAATACCAAACATTATCTACTATTATTAGGTTACTGTGCTCATTACTTAGTTTGCCTCTATTGCTTCCTGACCATAACCTGTTACAATTAGCATTTTAGCTTTAAATAGGTGTTATTACCTGCTATGCGGAAGTTAGCTAAATGTTGATGAAAAAAGACAATAATCTGAAATGCCACAAATCCCGGCCAATACATACAATTGCAGAAGCTGTTGGATGCTAACATACAAAAAATATTTGGATCAAAAGCATCTTAAGAGTGAATTTTTACGGAGCCCTCTAGGGACATGGGGTAAAAAATTTATTTTGCATTGCCTCACAATAAGTTTTGCGTTCCCTCGCAATATGCTTACTGCAATATTTTCTGATCTATTCTGTATACAGTTACAAATGTCAATTTAACATTTCAAATACATATTTAAAGAGCCTAAATGTGCCTCAAATGGTGGTAGAGGGCCACGCAGGGTTAACTCTGGGAATCTCATCTGTCTGAGGCTTGTGTCAATAATCTCCAGGCCACTTCTTTGTTCTGCCACAATTATCGATTTGTTCCATTTTGATTATCATGCTGTATAAGGACTGCGACACAGTCTGACCAGGACCACTGCACAAGTGCCAACGATCAACGGCACCACAACACGGTCAGCAGAAACTATGACCACCTTGTGGACCCACTTCCAAGCCAGTAACCTTCCCATTCATACTTGGTGATGGTGACAGTCACGCCCACATCGACGCACCCACCGCCCAAGTGTCAAAGATTAATGTTCCTGTCATATCAATAATTATTAATTATTTCATTCATATGGCTCTTACAGAACCTCAGTGAAAACGTGTTTGTTATTATTAACTCTTTGGTGCAAAAAACTTATTGAAACTCGATTTATTCACTGCATGTTTATTTCTGTTTGTGTGAGGTTGAGATGGAATTGCACATGAAAACGGCCCTTTAAACCATTCAGACTACCAGCACAATAGAGACACAATCAACTGTCTCATTACCCCGCAATAATAACTCAGAAATAGTCCAAATAGTTTGGATGTATTTTTATTTCTTTCCTACTTATGGAAAGTTTCTGTTTATCAGACAGTCTTAGTGATGGGATTGTTGAGGAATCTGATGGCCAACGGGAGGCAACTGTTTTTGAGTCTTTCTGTTCTACAGCAGTCCCACAATAAATGCACTAAAGGAAACTTTTCAGGGGGTCGCAGCAGGGAAGTCTGGATACAAGGATGGAAAAACAAAGAAATAAATGATGAATTGAGAGTTTTGCAGAGAAAAGGGGCATGTATGTAAGCTATAGGTGGAAAAAGTTTAGAATTGTTATTTTGTTTTTATCTAAAGCTAAATGTGCATAATTTGAATTGTTACACATCCAAAGACTAAAAAACCAAATATTTTGAGAGAAACTCAAAAAGGTTCAACACAATAAAATCTTAAGTGCTCCACAAAACCGTGATTAACAAATTTTACTGCTTAAAAAATGCATTAGAATTTCGCCTAAAAGGTTTACATTATTACTTTTTCAATAATTTTGGCTGATTATTGGTGATTGGTGATCTTTTTTTATTTAATCCCCTCCTGGATGTAATTGAAAGCAGCTGGATGATCAGAATCCCTGATTTTTCTCCCTCAGAAACCGGACCGCTTTAAACTGGCCCCGGAAATGGACACCTACGTGTCAGACTTCCTGCAGAACTGTCAGGACTCTGACAAACAGCTGGCGGTCATGGTGAGCTTCTCCTCACTGACCAACAACGGTTACCCCGTGGTGCCGTCAGTGTGGCAGGTGGTGCAGCACCTGGAGCCGGCGGCTCTACGGAGCTATGTGGACTGGCTCAAAGGGACGTTCCTGCAGCCTCAGCCAGACCGTCTGCTGGACTTCAGCACCCGCAAGCAGAAAGACAAGAGCAAGGAGCAGTGAGTGTTTATTCAAACGGGGATATGTAAGATAATATCGCTCTCTTCTTGTGATTACTCTGACGTTCTCTCGTTTAGGAAAGAGAGCTCGATATTCCGCCTGAGGAAGTGGATCGTCGCTCGTCTCGCCTCGATCATCAACAACCATCAAGTGAAGAAACATGAGGATCTTATCATGGATGTGGCCAGGTAAGACCAGCGTTTTAAGCTACATTCACACAGCAAACAAATGCCATCCATATCCATTTATTTTGCCCATATGCAAGCTATATCAAACTTTTCCACTGCAGTCTGAACAGCCAAATTTGAGTCTTTTCTCCCCTCCAATTGTTTTCAAAGCGCTTGCACTCTGAACAGTCATGTCATTTTTATCCAGCTTTTATGCCATTAATATAAGACGTCATAATTAGTGGTGGGCACTTATCTTATCGTTTATCATTTCTCGTGGACCACATCTCTCATCACTCCCTGATTGGACCGTCTCGTTCCAGAGAAACAAGCTCAGGGCTCCGTTAGTCATTATCGTGAGTTAAAAT